GATATACAGAAATGAGTTATATTCTCTATATCAAATAGCCTTCTATAGTTATTTCACTGATACCAAAGGTATTTCTAATTCTAGTTAAAGTATAATTCTTTATCACAGCTTTTTCATAGTCTACCGCTTCTTTTATTACTTCAGTTTTGATAGTATTATATCATTTTCCTAATCAAGTACCTAATGCCAATTTAAATTAGGACTAATATATATAATCTGTTGATTATTCTTCTAAGCAAGTACTCTACAAGTTAGATGTAAAGATGTTGGTACTGCCTAAAGCGAAGGCAAAAAGATGTTGGTGTTGCCTCCAGGTTATTCCAACCAGAAAACTTATATGTGTAATCTTCTACAATCTAGATCTTCTGTAGAAGACATGTATAATAGTACCGTTTCATGATCAAGGCTCTTTCTAGAAACTCTTTATTCTGGTTTTATATTATACTTAAATTTTCTACAGAACTTCACGTTCGAAATAGTGCTCTCGCCAATTGGCTTACAAAGGATTAAAAATTATTGATTTTATACCTTCAGATAGAGTCAAACTATTGACCTTGTCTATAGAGGTTTGGAAGCTTAACTACTAAGCTATGGAATCTAAACTCATTAGAAAGAGTTGAATATAATTAATTATATTTAATATATATAAAAAACTTTAATATTTATAATATTTTTTTAGAGATCTACTATTTCCACTATGAAAAATTACTATTTTTACCATAGTTATACAAGATTTTCTATTTTTAATTATTTAAGATATTTAAAATTAAATATAAGAAAAATTAATTTTTTTAAAAATATTGTTATATGATACACTATGTATTTGGTACATCCTCTCTGTATCTCAAAATTTTATTAAGATAACTCTTGTTATATGTTATATAACTAATAAAAAATATTTGTTATACAATTTTAAGCCTAATCTAATCAAAACCTTAACCCTAATCCTAACTTTTGCATAAATTATAGTATATTTAAATTATTTGCTTAAAATGCAAAATTTTATTATAGTAACCCTGTTGTATAACTAATAAAAAATATCTCTTATACAATTTTACTAATAAGACAACTTCTGTTTTAACTTTAATTTTTATATTAAACTAATATTACACTTATTAGATTTCTACAAGAAAGGATATACCAAATATATAGATACACTATTTAACATTTTCCTTTTTTTAAAATTAAAGAAGTTTTTATTAAGTTAGAGTTTATTGATTTTCTAAGTAAAGTTGTAGAGAAGATTTTTTCTAAAATACTTGGAGTTAAAGATACAATATAAGGATTTAATATAAAAAATCAATTTTTTTAAAATTAAAGAAGTTTTTATTAAGTTAGAGTTTGTTGAGTTTTTAAGTAAAGTTGTAGAAAAGATTTTTTTAGTTCTAATAGTAGTTAGATCATCAAAATTGGTTTTGTGAATCCTAAGATATTTATATAGAATAACTTTTTCATAATTGGTTGATTATATAAAATTAATGAACATATTATGATTGGTTATTGGTACAACATATAACAATCAACTAATCAAAATATATTATATTTGTAAACTTAATTCATTATTATTTCTTCACTTTCATAAAAAAATAAAAAAAAAACAAAAGCTTATATATATATTTTTTAAATACCTATTACACTCTTTTATACTGAACTAATATAATATTTAAGGATCTATAGTTTATTATACAAGAGCTTATTATGATAAGACTCATTAGAGCCCTGTAATAATCTCTGTATATATACATATATAAAGTTTTAAATACTTGTTACTAATTCTACTCTTATATATTAATATTCTTTATATTTTAAAAACTCTTTACATAGCTTAGAAATCACTTTATTTATTTCTAAAAAAAAAGTTATACTTTTAGTTTTTTTAATATCTAGTTATATTTAATATTTTAGTAATTACATATAGTTCTATAGTTATGATATACTTAAAATTTTCATCTTTTAAGTAAAATACTTCTAGGTGTGGGGTTATTTAGGATTATTTTGTATAATAACTATTGATGCTTTTTTGAAATTAAAGATAAGTTTAATTTTATTTTTTATTTGTAAAATATTCTTAAAAAGTACTTTAAACTGTATAAATATAATTATAAGTGATTATCCAATTAAAAGAAAGTTATTCTATATAAGATATTTGGAGTTAAAAATATGAATATAGAGATCTGCAAATTGGTAGTTACTCAAAATATTATAGTTTTTAGTATTTTGTATAACCACCAATTTGCAAATCTCTATATTTGCACCTTTAATCCCAAATATCTTGGAATTTACCAAGCCAATTTTGATGATCTAACTATCATTAAAACTAGAAAAATTTTTTCTAAACTTTACTTAGAAGCCTAACAAACCTTATCTTAAAAAATACTTCTTTAATTTTTAAAAAATTATTTTTTTAATATTATTGGTTAAAATTAATATGATGCTGGAAGTTTATACTTAACAGTTATACAAAGTGTTATGAGATTTTAAAATGAAATTTGGCAAATATGTAGAGCTGATATAGCTTTATAAAGTTACCAATTAGACTTTTTCTAAATCTCTTAAATAAAAAGTTATAACATTTAAAAATTGAAACACTTTGTATAACTATTGAGTATAGACTTCCAGCACTATATAATATTTGAAACTAAAAATAGAAATTTTGTATAACTATGGTAGAAATAGCAATTTTCATGATGGAAATAGTAGATTTCTTTTTTTAATATCAAATACTATTTTATCTTTGTTAAGTTATTAAACTAATATTTTATATATTTTTTTATATCTATTAGTTTTTTAACTAATGTATACAACCTTTTTATTTTATAATTTTTTTATTTTTTTATCAAAACAACTCAAAATTTACTCTTTGATAAAAAATTTACTTGGAAATTTGCCTTATCTATTAAGCTCTATCTAAAATTTACTACCTTATCTTCTTTTTTGAACACCTTCTTACCAACTTTGCCAAATCAAAATATTATATAAACTATTATTTCACTACAAAACCTGCAATTTTATTCTTTCTTTTGATTTGCTTTATCTCTATCCAAATTTACGCATTCTAATTCATTAATAATCAAAATTTACCATATACATAAATGCACCACACGAACATACCACCATACTTAAATCATTATATACAACAACAATATTTTATTTATTATTTCTATATTATTTAATACCTAATCACCTTTCTTCTTACTCTTTACAATATACACTTCTATGTATACGCTTTGCACTTTAGCATACTAACCTACACTATCTGTCAAGAAATACAAACACAAAACATAAAATACAACTATCCCAAATCACACCACCGCTATAAGCAATACAAACAAACCTAACTTAATCACTAGTTAAAAATAGCCAGAATAAATTTAACATATAAAAACTTTTTATTTATTTCTATCAACTCTAACATTCTAATTCAACCCTTTTATTTTCACGAACTTGGTTCATTTTTATATCAAATTTTCTTTTCTCATATTATACAAATAAATATGTACTTTCAAAATTACTACATGCCTAACATCTCCCTCATACTACCACTTATTAAAAATTATTTACTCACTGCTTTTATTCACTTTTTTTCTTTCGTTCGTTACATGTCGAATTTTATGCCGGACTGATCCGGATAGTGTCGATCTATTCCAGTATAATTCCAGTACGTATCTTATTTTAGGTACGTAATGATAATGAAATACATCAATAAGATAACGATAATGATAACCTGTGTTTACGTAATAATGAGTTAATGGTTATAATGATTATGATTATCAAAGTACATATAATTGATAGAGATACGTAGACGATTTTTGACATTAATATCGATGTGACACAACTTGTAATAATACTATATATATATATTAATTATACTGTTACCATAAATAATACTTTGATGTATTATATCTGTTATATTGTTACCAAAAATAACATTGCCGTATCTGTTAATATAACAGTATAATACAGTATAATGCTTTACCATCAACCGCAGTGATGATATGTATTACGGAAATTAAAACAATTGATAAATTTATCGTTATTAATTTAAATTCATAATAAACCTAAACTGTTGAATTCTTGTACGTAACATGATAGTTTTTGATGATCAGACAGTACGTATCATTGTGTTTTTAAGAATATTTGGAATACATTTTTCTCAAGAGCTTGTGATAATTACGAATGACTAGAATGACGAATATTACAATTTGACCATTTAGAGATTCTGTACAACGTGTAAATTCTTAAAGATAACAAGTCTTTTTAAGTTATCGAGTAAAATGTGCGATTGTGTCTAAGATCAATCCGTTGTCTTTTCCGAATCAACAAAAAAATCAGATAATCGGTGCAAGAGCGTATTGTTATTTTGACAGGAACTACACCGTGGGGTCCTACATCAATATTTGTTTGTTTGGGTAATTCGTGGAACGATATTTTCCGGTAATAAATAACCGATGAGGAAAATATTAAGATTAGATCTTCATTTATCATTACCATCCACCTTTACGATTAAGGTTATTTGGCTTTTGCTTGATCTTAAGCATTGTCTCTGTGTGTACCTTAATAGGTGTTTCATATCCCAACAAATAATCTTGTTCTTTGCATACACATGTCTTGAAGAGTATCGGGTGGATTGTGTTCCCATAGACAACTGGTTTTTTTCTTGGTTGCCCACAAAAAATCAGATGTATTGAATTTTGATAAAATTATTGACGTTACCTAAATGTTATGTTTGGAATCGGGGCCAAGACGGAAATAAAAAAAAAAATCCTGGGTCGTATAGTTATACTTATCAGGGAAAACAAATTATTTTGTTAAACTGATACAACAAATTATTTTGTAAACTAATACAAATTAATGCTTTTTTTTTTTTCTTTTGCTAATATAAAAGATCCATCAAAATCATTTAACTGTTAAATAAAATTAATAATCATTTAATAATTAAAAAAAAAAAAAAAACAAAAAATGAGTGAATCAAGTCAAAAAATTTTACGTAATTACTACTCATGGCCGAATTATGGTGCAACGCCTATAGGTTAGTTATCTTCAAATAATTATATTATGGTAATTATTTGGGTTATTCAGAAAAGTCTTTAATTTAGCGAGTACCGATTCGACACTTATCGAGACTGGTGATGATATAAGTACTTCTAACCAAGAAACAAAAGGATCAAATTGGACCGCTTATGTTAACGTTGTGTAAGTCTCTAAAAGAAAAATGTAATTAGTCAACATCTTTAATCTTTTTTTATATTCTTAAACACAGGTGTCTGATAGCAGGATCGGGCACGCTCGGTATTCCATACGCGATTCAACAAGGTGGTTGGATTTCCCTGCCAGTCATGTTTCTTTCCGCTACAATATGTACTTACGCAAACATAAAATTAATCGAATGTTTATATCATGATGGGTATCTATTATTATTATTATTATTATTATTATTATTATTATTATTATTATTATTATTATTATTATTATTATTATTATTATT